CAATGACACCTAAAATCATGAACCCAAGCCTTTGGCTTTAAATGTTGAGACAAATCAAGAAACCTTGTGTTAACCAAACCAGAAAAGTTCCAGCTTACTGGGAGACTTCTCAAATTTGTCATTTTTCCATGAATTCAGTTTGTGCCGTTTAAGACCTGGTATTTCCTGTGAGCCACATATGCTCCCAATCTTTCTTGAAGTAGTCCACACCTTCCTTCCCAGAGCTAGTGTCTATTTTCCCATCTTACTTGAGTTTAAGTACATATATGTAGAATTGCATTGACACCATTCAGTATTTAACACATAAACAAATACCAACTTCACCATTCTCAAGGTAGGGCAGTATTTCACGTCCCTCTACCAGAATAAAAGTATTTGGAGGTTGTTATACACACACACACACACACACACACACTAACCTTGGACACAAACGGATCCTAAAGCCAAGTCGGCATGTTTCAGCACACTCACTCGTTTCTCAAGATGGTGATTACTAAACACCCGTCCAAGGCCTACTAGGCATCTCTTATTAACCTGTGCCAAACCAATGTGGCACCAGATGACTGCTGAATCTTACCCCTGCCTGCCTCCAGGTTAGCACACATCTGACAGCAGGTGGTATTCTAGCCCACCCCTTTTTCTGGAGGTGGTTCTGGACACTTCAAAACCTTCAACACTTAGAAACACACTAAGACATCTGCAAATGAACAATAAGACAAAGCATTGCCAGGAGGTGGGAATTTTGGAAACTCTGTTCACTTACCACCAAATTTATTGAAGCCACCACGGTCACTTCCGCTGGAGAAGACAAGTTAGAAGAAAGGACATGAAGCTTCCAACGGCTACAAAAGGGTGTTTTTTGATTTTAACGTTCCCCAAACATGGGTAGGTGTTTTGGGAAAAAGATACAAGTGGCTACTAAAATACATTCCTTCCTGACCACCCCTTGTCTGACCTTTGAGCATGTCACACACCCACGTGTGCAATTTCTCAGACACGGTTTTAAGATTTTGCTTTAAAAGGTTATAATCTATTTCCTCTGGAAAAAAAATGACCCATTTTCCTTGGCTGTTCTTCCGATGTAGCAGATGTTTTTTTCCTCTTGTCGTGAGTGGTAGACAAACCCAGTAGCAGTTGGTTTAAAAACCCTACTCCCCATTTAACCCAGAAGACATTTCACACCAGGCTGGGGTAGCCCTGAACACATTTTTGTGGTTTTTGCTTTGAAAGCAGCAAGCAGACCCAATCCCATTCCATAAAAAGTCAAAACCAAAGGCAATTTCCCCTTAAGCAAGACAAACTTAGCTAAGCCCTGTCCTAACTACTGAGCTGCTTTTGATCTCCCCCCAGCCCCGGGGGTCACCCCTTCTACACTGCGAGAAGAGCCGAGTATTTTGCAATGTCACCTTTCATACCTGTGGCACATAAAATGCAGAGCAAGTTAACAGTCACATAACAGTTGTTTTTCTTTTAAAGTTTTGCATTAAACACACGCACAACAGGTTTTCCTTATTTTCGGTACTGTCTTTTGAGGTTGCCCCCACCCACCTCTGAATACTTACCAGATGTAAATACACAGTTAAAAAAACCCTACTTTTTCCAAAAAAGGAGTAACACACTGACCTTCCTCCCCTTTTCAAGGGAGAGAGTCCTTCAGATCAGATTTACCAACAGATCTGATGAGTTTAACATCAAGTCAACTACAGTGGGAGGGGGAGGAGAGGTCCAGTTGGACAAGCTGATGCTCGTGTAAGTAACCAGGGAAGGGACAGTGGAGCAAATAGGGGGGACACCACTGTCAAATGAATTTTGTCCAAAAGGCTTGCACACTTCAGTGAGATAACCCCATAAACCAAGTCACACACAAAATCATTACTTCACTCAAATCAGTGCAAATCAAGCTCGTGGCTCAAACG